TTGAAGAGAAGTAAGGTAGAAATGACACAAGATGAAATTCAAGATTTATTAAATAAATCTATGGAAGAAGAAGAAGAGGAAGAAGAAGAGGGTGATGATGAGGATGATGTAGTTGAGAATGAAATTAGTATTGCAACAGAAGAATCAAATATTCCCGATTGTGAATTAGATGTACAAGTTGTGATTGAATTTAATTCTTGTGTTTTTGAAATGTTTAACGAAAACAATACAATAGAAGAATTAGATAGTGGATTTTTTGATGAAGAGACTGGAGGTGATGATTATGATCCCATAGAAGTAGCTCATGAATCAATGGGTTTTGATGATTATTACAATGTATAATAATATATATTTTTATAATTTTTTAAATTTAAAAAGTTTATGAATAAAGTTTATGATTTCATTTGTGTAAACTGCAAAAAATTTTGATTTGATTATAATTTTCAATTACATAACATATTTATTACAGAATTACAGAATTACAGAACTACAGATACATTTACATATTACAGAATTGCAGAATTACATATACATTTACATATTACAGAATTGCAGAATTACAGATACATTTACATATTACAGAATTACAGAATTACAGATACATTTACATATTACAGATTTTCTGACAACTGCATACTTGAAAAGTTGTCATATTACAGAATGGCCAAACTATTTACAGACGGCATCATTAATCTGTAATAATTACTTACTTGACTTTAATGGTTTTTTGTCAAGACAACTCACACAACACCTTGTGCAGAATTCCAATAAATTTTGGTTGATTCAATTTTATTGCAAAAAGAACATGTTTGGCTCAAAAAAAAATTGTATATATTGTAACTTGGACCAACATGATGGTGGAGGCAGCTTGAAATAGTACAGGTATGTTGTTCTTGATCTCTCCCAAATTTTGTTAGTTTGATTAGATTCATCAGTCAAAATAGAATGAAATCTATGACAAGTTTGCAATAATGAGTTTAGAAGAAGATAACAAATTGAAATCCTTAAAATATGATGCTTTCAGAAAACGGTGACATCAATTGACACTAGAAATTCAAATTATGAGTCCAAGGACTGGTTTGTGTGATACTTGTCAACATTTTAGAGATGGTTTATATTATAATGCTCGCCAAGAGGAAGAAGCTAAAGATTTGCTCAAAAGGTTTAAAGAACATCTGTCTAAAAAGAAATTATTATCCCCTAAACGGTTAATCAGCTATTGATAGCTGATAAAATTTTTCTGATATAAAAAATTTTTCCTGAGGGTATCACTTTCTAATACGAAATGATCTTTGAGATTCAGCTGATTAATCTATAAATAAAAATCCAGTTGTTGTCCTTATGGTTTTTGTAAAATCTTCTTTAAAAGTTGGTCGATTGACTGTTTTTACTTTGCTGATTGTTAAATTGACCAATAAGAATGATCAAAACCTTGATTTGTGTTACCATTAAAATATACTCTGACCATTTAAGAGATAATAAAAATACCAAGTTAGCAGAAGAACAAGAAAAATTAGTTAATTAGAATTATTCAAAGAGTAAAATACAATATTGTAGTGTTTATGCTACTGCTCATTATAGTTATGATTGAGCCCAAAATGTTTATGTGCCACATTTAGATCAACAAGTAAGTAAAATTTATTACCTTAGTCCATGTAAAGTTCATTTATTTGGTATTCAAGATGAAGCAGTAAGGGAGCAAATTAATTATGTTCT